ATTATATCTGGGTTCACTTCTTGTGCTCTTTCCCTTAGTTCACTTGTTTTGCTTGTAATTCCATCTATGTTCGAGTACAACACCCTGAAACTGACTCTCTTCTACCCTTTGTCAGTTTCTATTGCCTTATTGCAGTTTCTATATAATATTTCTATTATATCCCTGAAGCAGGGAAACAGGCAGGGCCTATGAAGGGGGACCTGGGTGGATCTGGGGTGTGCAGGGGCTGGGAGGATCTGGTCTGGGTAGGGTGGTGTAGGAGGGAGGGCTTGGGAAGGGCGGGGGTGGTAGGGAAGAAAAGAGGGCTTGGGAGGTGGGGAAGGCTTGGGGGAGGGGGTGGGGGGAGTGTGGGAGAAGGGGAGACTTGGGGGGTATGGGAGTAGGGAGGGCTTGGGGAGATGGGGAAATGCAGGGCTTGGGGTGCAGAAGAGGAAGGAGGACTTGGGGGGGGGGAGGTTGGGGGAAAGGGAGGGATGAGGAAGAAGGGAGGGCTTAGGGTAGTGGGGGAGAAGGGTGGGCTCATGGGGGATACTGGAGGGTTTAGGGGGGTGGGGGAGAATGGAGGGCTTGGGGGATTAGGGAGGGCTTGGTGGGTGGGGGGAGAAGGGAGATCCTGGGGAGGGGGAGTGGGGGGAGGGTACCTTGGGAACCCAGGGATTGGGGCAGGTAGGACATCTATTGGGTGGAGGTGGGGGTGGTGCTTCTCTCACTGTGTCTGTTGAACTGCTTGTGGAGGGTTTCCCATTCCCCTGTGGGATTGTAGGGCTCGGGGTTGTGACTCCCTGATTCCTTTCTTTCTCCCTGCCCTCCCTCCGCACGGCTGCTGCCCTCCCTCCGCACGGCTGCTGCCCTCCCTCCGCACGGCTGCTGCCCTCCCTCCGCACGGCTGCTGCCCTCCCTCCGCACGGCTGCTGCCCTCCCTCCGCACGGCTGCTGCCCTCCCTCATCACGGCTGCTGCCCTCATTGTCTCGTCCCTTGTCATATCCCTCTGCAGAGATCCTTGCTAACAAGTCGTCTTTTGTTCTCTTGTGTCCGAGCCAGAAAACCTTTTCAATATTCTGGTCAGCCCTCACCATCTTTACCCCTTTAAGGATCTCATTAACATCATTTTTTTCCTTGTCTCTCCTCTCCACTGGACTAGTCCCTGTTTGCCTCTTAATGCCTCATATTTCTACTGCTGTTTTTCGCTCTCTCAGCTGGTACATCTAGCTGCTTCCTGTGAAGAAGCCACTTTGATGGCAACTTCCCTAACTGCTGACCTAGCTTCAGGGACTCTTTTTAAACAATTCTGCAAATGAGGGTTGTTTTGTAGAAGTCCCCTCACCAGGTACATCACCATCTCCCTGAGGGATGATTTGTGTCTGGTATTGAGTCACCATCAGGCTTCTTATCTCCTGTGCAGCCCTTAGTTCATCCTGCAGGTTGGTTACTGTCTCCCTCATTACCCTCAGTCCTTCACTGAATTCATTCCACATTTGCTGGAATGTTACCCTAATCCAGGCTTCCTGTCCCTCCCCTCCCCTTCCTCTGAGTTTGTTCCTGCCATGCTTATCTTCCTGCAGTTGCCTCCCTGTGTTTGTCTCTCTGTCATGTTTTTTGCCTATTAGAAAGATAGAGGGGGAGAGAGGCGGAGAGAGAGGTAGATGGGGAGGGGGAGAGATAGAGAGATGTGAGTGAGAGAAAGAGATGTGAGTGATGTGAGTGAGAGAGAGAGATGTGAGTGATGTGAGTGAGAGAGAGAGATGCGAGAGAGAGAGAGAGAGAGAGAGAGAGAGAGAGAAGAGAGAGAGAGGAGAGAGAGAGAGAGAGAGAGAGAGAGAGAGAGAGAGAGAGAGAGAGAGAGAGAGAGAGAGAAGGGAGAGAGAGAAAGATGAGGAGAGAGAGAGAGAGAGAGTGTGTATGCGCGTGTGTTATGCGCGTGGTGTTCTGTGTGTGGTGTGTGTACTGGATGGGTTGGGGCGGTGTATTAGGTGTGTTTGTGTGCGTGTGTGTTTTATTGTGAGAGGGGTGGTACGGCATTGAGGGGGAGGGGGGTAACCGGTGGAGGGATGGCGTGGGAAAGAAGAGGGTGAGGGAGAGTGGAGGGAGTGGTGGATAGATAGAGGGAGATGGATGGATAGGGGGATGGAGTGAGAGAGGAGAGGATGGGAGGAAGGGAGATGGGAGAGAGGGAGAGGGGGGTGCTGTGCTAGTGGGGGGGGGGGAATGGTGAGGGTGTCAACTCGACAAATAATAATATGTATGTATGAACAACTCGACAAATAATAATATGTATGTATGAACAACTCGACAAATAATAATAATAAAATAATGAGCCTTAAACAGAACAACATGTGTGGAAGCATCGGAGTGTGTATATATGTATGCTACACAGTATTCATGTATAGACATCCATATATGGTGAAACACATGTGAAGAACCTCTCACACACTCACAGCTCCCTGACAGGAAGGAGCCAGCTTAGCTTAGCTGCCAACACCCACACATCGTGTCAGCAAGGCGGACAGCCCGCCTGCTTTCATACCTCTCACTGTATTTCCCACTCCTATACTTCTCTTCACCTATGCCTCTCCTTCCTCTTTATTCCCTCCCCCTCCCCCCCCCCCCAAAAAAAAAAGAGAGAGTGGGTGTGTGGGGCGGTTCAGAGTGCAACCCGTTCTCGCATTTGCTTATAGTCAATATTAGCTTATTTAATAAGTGAATATGTGACATACTAATTGATTGTAAATATTTTAGTTTACCTTGAAAAGCTTCATAGAAAACACCGACCTCACCTAACCTTCTTAGTATGTTAAGATACGCATCTTATTGCTTCTTAATTACAATTATTACTTAACCTATACTATTGATAGGTAAAGTAATAATTGTAAATAGAAGCAATAAGATGCTTATCTTAACAAACTAAGAAGGTTAGGTGAGGTCGGTGTTTTCTATGAAGCTTTTCAAGGTAAACTAAAATATTTACAATCAATTAGTATGTCACATATGCACTTATTAAATAAGCTAATATTGACTATAAGGAAGTGCGAGAACGGGTTGCAGAGTGGGAGGGATATGGGAGGGTGTGGGCCCTATGGATGGTACGTTGTGTGTGTACTGTTGGAGGTGCTGTGGTGAGTGGGGGGGGGGGTGGTGAGAGAAGGTGGGGTTGTCCGGTGTAGGGCGTAATATTTTTTCACACTTGGGTTATCTTGAGGTTATCTTGAGATGATTTCGAGGCTTTTTTTAGTGTCCCCGCGGCCCGGTCCTCGACCAGGCCTCCACCCCCAGGAAGCAGCCCGTGACAGCTGACTAACACCCAGGTACCTATTTACTGCTAGGTAACAGGGGCATTCAGGGTGAAAGAAACTTTGCCCATTTGTTTCTGCCTCGTGCGGGAATCGAACCCGCGCCACAGAATTTCGAGTCCTGCGCGCTATCCACCAGGCTACGAGGCCCTCGGTGCCACAAACTAGTTCCCAAGTGAGCCGTATTTTGTCCCTTGAGGTTCGTTTCAGTTTGTTAACTTATATCCAAGACTAACTATTATATTGCAATAACACTGTACAGCGTATGATTGACTGACTTATTGAGAGACCTTACCATCAATTCAAACATCCCATGACACAATTAGGTGTTAGAAGTACTGTTGACTTCAAGTCTGGTGGCAAGTCTGGTGGTGGTGGCCTCCACTCCACTGGGAATGGAGGCCTGGTCGAGGACCGGGCCGCGTGGACACTAAAGCCCCGAAATCATCTCAAGATCTCAAGATTGACATCTTGTTTGCTCCTCGTAGGCCTGCTGGTGTCCACGCCGCTGCCAGGCGTAGGTCACTCCAACTTCTCGCTATATATCACCAGTAATCAACTTGTTCCCCTTAGCACCAGTATAGCTCTAATGCTACACGTTTAGACTCGCTTCTTCACTATTCTTTTCACTATCTGCTTTGATCTTCACTATCACATCTAGTTAAGTACACACTGACCAAGCGTGGCAGCAACGTGCCTGTCTTGGCACTGATATCGTACCTGATCTTGACTAATATGAACTATCGGACACAATCCATGAAATTGCTACTTCCTAATCAGTGTGTTACACTCCATATTAACACTCAGCAACGATGTTCCCTTGTGTTCCTCTCATGTCCCGAATTATGAAGCCTTTTCCAAGGAGCGCCGCGCACGCGTGTGTAGCCCCCTAGACCCTTGACGGTGTGTGTTGGGGTAGTGTGAGGTCACACCTGTGTGAAGGGTCGGTGGTACCTGTGACCTGGTGTGTGTGTGTGTGTGTGTGTGTGTGTGTGTGTGTGTGTGTGTGTGTGTGTGTGTGAGAGAGAGAGAGAGGTCACATGTCATCATGAAGGTAAGCCGCCTGTGACCTGTGTTTGGATACTGTCATCTTGGTCACGTCTTGGTAGTGAAGGGCAGCCTCGTGTCGTAGAAGTCAACACTGCCTTCCTACAGTACTCTTGTAGGAACGTTCCCGCGCCCTCTGGCCACACTACCATCTACAAGCTGTGTACATACACTTATGAGCGGGAAGCCTAGTTTCTGTATACACACTTCCACTGGTGTATTGGAAGTCCACCACACAGTGGGAGAGACTGGCCAGTGTGTTGTGTGTGTGCACCACATGTCTCGCCGAGGTCACTGTAGAGGCAGTGAAGGGTGGTATATATCCTCTCCAGTATAGGTGTCGGTGCTACTGAGAGGCTGCAGTAAGTGGAGAGGTGGAGGAGTAGTGACAAGAGGCTCTGTAGTCGTTGTTAAGCTAAGTCAACTGTGGGGGTCAGCCCCATTAAGTGCCTCTGTGACCCTCTCCAGCACCGTCCGGTATGGGGTGCATAATAAATGACTAAGGCGAGGCTCTCTAATAAGCAGAATACATGTCAAGTCGTTAGTGAATGCAAGTTGTTAGGATGTGAGCCAGAGAAGCTGTCAGTTGCGGGGGGAAGAATACTTCCCCGCCACATGTACACAGATGCCAGCATGAGCCAACATTCCCCGCTTTCCCCCACCAGGTCACCGGCGCTCGCTGTCGTCTGGGACTCCTGGCGTGGTGGTGAAGCCCGGGGAGGGGGAGGGAGGGGGTGTGGTGAAGGGTGGTGGTGGGGGGGGCCACACCACAGATCATCCCCCACCTCCCCCGCCTATTTACCCCTCCTCCGCCAACCTCCACATGCCGCATTACCAGATAGGTGAGTCCACCTTCCTTCTCCTTTATGGCACCGTCTTGCATATCTCTCTCCCTCCATCCCTCCCTCCCTCCCTTCCTTCCTTCCTTCCTCCCTCCCTTCCTTCCTTCCTTCCTTCCTCCCTCCCTTCCTTCCTTCCTTCCTCCCTCCCTTCCTTCCTTCCTCCCTTCCTCCCTCATTTTGTCCCTCTTCTTAATTTGCTCCTCTTTCTTGCTTTTGTTTTTGTGTGCACACTGGTTGTCTTCCTCTTGGATGTTACATGTACATATTGGTCAATATATATATATATATATATATATATATATATATATATATATATATATATATATATATATATATATATATATATATATAATCTCTCTATCTATCTATCTATCTATCTATCTATCTATCTATCTATATATCTATCTCTCTCTCTCTGTCTCTCTCTCTCTCTCTGTCTCTCTCTCTCTCTCTGTCTCTCTCTCTCTCTCTCTCTCTCTCTCTCTCTCTCTCTCTCTCTCTCTCTCTCTCTCTCTCTCTCTCTCTCTCTCTCTCTCTCTCTCTCTCTCTCTCTCTCTCTCTCTCTCTCTCTCTCTCTCTCTCTCTCTCTCTCTCTCGCACGAAAGCTAAGAAAACAAAAGTAGAATATTGGCGTATTGTAGCGGTTGTAAAGCATGTTGTAGCATGAGACTATAGTAGTAGTGGTGGTAATAGGCTACCAGTTTGTGTGTTACAAGTGCATCACTCCTCTGTGTTGTAAATGCAAGTTAAGTCTGAGACATCTGCACGTTATGTCTTTTGTTATTGTCTCCGGTGTAAATTGCCATGTGCATTTGTTGTAAATCTGGGGTTATTTTATTTGTGTATTACAGTTTGATTTGTCGAGATCTCTGCGCGGAGAGGCTCGTAATATGTACATTTTATATGACGTGTTCTGGTACCACCCTGATGTCTCTCTCCACCCCGTCTGGTGCCTTCTTTTCATGTTGGTGCTTTCTTTTGTTGTTGATGTTGGTGCTTTCTTTTGTTGTTGATGTTGGTGCTTTCTTTTGTTGTTGATGTTGGTGCTTTCTTTTGTTGTTGATGTTGGTGCTTTCTTTTGTTGTTGATGTTGGTGCTTTCTTTTGTTGTTGATGTTGGTGCTTTCTTTTGTTGTTGATGTTGGTGCTTTCTTTTGTTGTTGATGTTGGTGCTTTCTTTTGTTGTTGATGTTGGTGCTTTCTTTGATGTTCACTTTCTCGGCCACACCTGCTAGAATCCATCAGTAACTGTGCAGGATGCTATGGAGGCTGGTGGAGTGCCTGAACAAAGGTCAGTCATAGGATATAAGCCTTGTGCCTCTTTATGCTAGACTCAGTCCGAGGTGAGTGTTGCAATAGACACTGATCTATTGGCAGCGAGTCTTACCTTCTGACCAGAGGGATGCAGTTTGTTGCTGGTTCACCATGAAGAATGTTGTGGTGTAATTAGTGGGATCAGTAGGGACGGATCATGATTAATGTGCCAAGATGTTAATGCCATGATTGAATTATCATTGTAGTTCAACGAAACTCTTAAGTGGTTCACAAAGAACTTCAACTTGTTCACTTCTGGACACCAATAAGTTTAACTGTGTCTGAACAGCACTTAACAAATGTTATTACTACTGACACTACAGCAAATTATGATACAATAAATCTGGGAGTAATTAAGTAGATGCATTGTAGCACATTGTAGTATTTTTGCCTGATCAGATATAGGTAAAAATACGTCCCAACTCGTCATTTTTGCAGTTGACATAAAAATCAGCATGAAAGTTACTTCTGTAGAAGACTTTGAAAACTACAAGCTGATGTTAATTAGTGTTCGATTTGGCAGCAGAAAATAACATGTTTAACAGTGATAAATTTTACGTGCATAGGTATAGTAAAAATGAAGATCTTAAACAAAACACAATCAAATCTTGCCATAGTAGGAAAGCAGCATGTAAAAATATCTGGGAATAATGATGTCCGACGACCTAACGTTTACGGAGCCGGTCGACCGAGCGGACAGCACACTGGACTTGTGATCCCGTGGTCCCGGGTTCGATCCCGGGCGCCGGAGAGAAACAATGGGCAGAGTTTCTTTCACCCTATGCCCCTGTTACCTAGCAGTAAAATAGGTACCTGGGTGTTAGCCAGCTGTCACGGGCTGCTTCCTGGGGGTGGAGGCCTGGTCGAGAACCGGGCCGCGGGGACACTAAAAAGCCCCGAAATCATCTCAAGATAACCTCAAGATAACGGAGTCTTAACCAAGCAAATATTGCGTCAGCCAGAAAAATGATAGGATGGGTTATGAGCAGTTTCAAATCTAGCACTGGTGAGTCCCGCCTTGATTGCTGCTCCATACCCACTTTCCCTTCAGAGCGGGAGAGTTTGTTGAACTAGAGGGAATACAGAGAACATATGAAGGACGCTTAGACGCGATAAACCACCTAAATTATTGGGGCTCGTCTGAAAGCTATCACAATGTACTCGCTAGTAAGGAGACGAGAAAGGTGCTAAATTATATATACATGGAAAATACTGGAGGGCCAGGTCCCTAATCTGCACAGTAAAATAACAACATACTGGAGTGAACGATATGGAAGAAAATGCAGAATAGAACCAGTGAAGAGCAGAGGTGCCATAGGCACAATCAGAGAACACTGTATAAACATCAGAGGTCCGCGGTTGTTCAACATCCTCCCATCACCGTAACACCAGTCTCAATAGTATAATACACCATAATACAAGTGATCATAACATTAGCACATCTGATGACAGACCTCATCAGATGTGTTAGCCTCAAAATAGATAGCCGCAGTGAAGAAAATCTCACTATATATCTTGAGGTTATCTTGAGATGATTTCGGGGCTTTAGTGTCCCCGCGGCCCGGTCCTCGACCAGGCCTCCACCCCCAGGAAGCAGCCTGTGACAGCTGACTAACACCCAGGTACCTATTTTACTGCTAGGTAACAGGGGCATAGGGTGAAAGAAACTCTGCCCATCGTTTCTGGCCGGCGCCTGGGATCGAACCCGGGACCACAGGATCACAAGTCCAGCGTGCTGTCCGCTCGGCCGTCCGGCTCCACTGCCGGTCGGCCGAGCGGAACTGCAACGGAGTTCGCAATAAGCTTAATGGCATGATACATTACGTGTGTGAACACGAGACTGGTGGCGGCATTGTTCTTCAGCGGACATTGGTGGGTGATGACCTCAACCTCAAGGTTCAGCGATTATCACAAGTTCTCCCTTCCCTTTGGGGAAAGAAAACGGGGTCTCATTATTCATAAAAGTAATAACATAGATGCACAGACTATTGAGGATCTCCACAAGGGGGGGGGGGGGGTTATTATGCAGTCCGTCTTCATGAACAAAGATGAAAAGTGTATACATCCCCCGCCAAACCCCTTGTTTATGAATGAATACAACCTTACACACGACTCACAACAGATGACGTTTGAACACTTTTCGAACAGTGCTTCACTAACAATTTTTTTCGAACCACAACGCTGTAAATGCTTCACCCACGTATTACAAATACAAATAATCGCCTACAGAACCTAAACCCACTAATGTAACCAATGCCTAAATATGCACAACATGCTAATATATAATATTAATTTATATTTTAGGAAATTCATATGTTGAATGAAAATCATGTTCAAATTTAAGAACGCGCCGTTGCGGTCGACCGCTGGATGGAATGAACTAAACCGTCTTCTAAACAATGACGCAAAGTCCATTCCATGCACCTGCCAAACCCCTTGTTTATGAATGAAAAATAATATTAATTTATATTTGAGAAAATTATTTTTTTTATGAACAGCGTGTTGAAATTTATGATACATCCAGATACAGGAGACATCCCACTGAAAGGAACCAAGTGCTGTTGAAAACAGTGTCTGGGTGTCAAGTAGCCAGGGAAGAAAAGATTAAAGAGCGAGAAAGACAGTGGCTTGTCTTCACTAGCTCCACTGGAAGAGCTAGTGATCTGCAAGGCAAGTGTGGCAAAAATACAGATAGTTAATGAGAGCAGAACCCGGCCTGCGGCTCACAAAGACCCCATATGTTAGGCTGAGGAACTAATTCACAAGTGGAGTGTTGCAGCCTCCTCCTCCTCCCTCCCAGCAGAAGTAAGGAGGGAACAGCTCCTATGGAATAATGACGAACAAATTAGGATAACAAGAGCACAATCTAGTGACGACGAGTGTGGGCAACCAATCACAGCCCAGGAAGTAAGGGAACTGTGAAAAAGGGTAAAAGCACTGCACCTGGTGAAGATGGTGACACCTATGACATACTCAGTGCATTGTGTGAGGTGTCGGGAATCCACTACTCCACTTATTCAATAAATCACTTCTAAGTGTAGTGTTGTCCACGCAATGGAAACACAGTAATTGTTCCCATACCAAAACCAAAGGACCCCTGACGAGTGCAGACCTATCAGTCTCGTGTCATGCACATGCAAGATGCTTGAAAGAATCACCTTAAACCGACTGTTGCATAAAATAGGTGGATTTTAGGAGAAGGGGTCAACGGCTTTGTTTAAGAACGGAGGACAGCAAATTGTATACTAATTACTTAGCTAATGACACAGATAAGTACTCAGTATTTGTTAACATCAAGGGAGCCTTTGATAAAGCACAAGGGACTGCGATCCTGGACGAGCTTGCATGCCTGGGTGTCAAGGGGAGACTCATGAAATGGGATGAAGACCACCTCACAGGGAGGAGAGCCAAGGTCTGCTTCAACGGAACAGTCTCGATAACAACGAAGATGGAACTCAACCCCTCATGGAGGAGTCTAAACCCAACACTATTCAACGTCCTTATGGACGCCATTGCTAGTATTGGATTTCCGGAAGGAACACAACAAGTGGGATATGCACATTATGCCCTAATACGAGCTCCCACCTTGGGAAAAATGGAACAGTCCATTGAAATCTTTGGAAGGAAATATGTTGAACTCTGTTTCACACTACACTCAAACAAGACAAAAGCATACTCTCATCACAA